TTAATGTGAATGGTTCTTCAATATTTTAAGTGTGAAAGGAAGAAAATGTGCCTAGTGTTAATTGTTTGTGGGGAGAATAAGAAGAAAAGATATCACAGAATAGCATGGCGGAAATAAATCATTATCTCAATTGGAGAGTGATGAGGTGGGATTTAGGCAAAAGCTGTTTGACCAACAAATGGATTGCTTTTGGAATGGACAGCTATTAATTATTAATACCTAAAATAGCATATTTGTGTATATACATTCCCTTCATTCTTTTAATAAGATATAACTTATTAAATCATATAAAAAAATAGTTTTTCTTTTAAAAATATATAGGGGATACTATATCAGAGAGAAATTGCCATCTAAACAGTTTACCCATTGATATCAGTAGTTAAATAGGAGTAAAATATCAAATTAAAAACAAAAAAAAAGGATATATCCCCTGGTGTTTTCTTCTTATAAAGATAAGCAAGTAATACTTAAAAATTCTCTTTTTATAAAAGGAATTGAGGAACATGATATTTATACTCACGTACGGTTTTCTTTATGTATTTCAGACGTAAATATATGATATATAAGGACCGTTTGGATTAGCGGTGAAAAAAATAACTTACTTTCAATCTAATTTTTAGAAAAATAAGATTGGGTAAGGTAAATTGTGCTTGGATTGGAGTTTAAAAAAGTTAGTTTGTAAAAGTAAAATTGATAAAAGTGAATTATGATTGGGTAAAAGTAAGTTTGTTTATAAAATTACCAAAATGGGTATAAGTTTTAATAAATAATGAAACATTATTAAAAAATAATTTTACATAATACAATGAATTTAAATTAATTTAATGTGAAGAAGTGAAATCTAATAAGTGAATTAAATTTTAAAACATTAGAGAAATAAAAAAATTATTGCAAATATAAAGCGAAACATAATTTGAATGGATAAAAAATTTTTGAACTCCAATTCATTATATTGTGACAAGATGAAATGAAATAATATATTGGGTAATATGATTTATGTTTGGATTCACTTTTATAAAAGTTAGTTTGTAAAGTAGAAAAGTTGTTTGTATTATAACTGGATAAGTAAATTTAGTTTATAGAATAACCAAAATAGGTATGACTTTTATTAAATAATAAAAATAATTAAAAATATGAATTTACAAAATATAATAATTTTAAATTATTATAATAGAGAGAAGTTCTATTTAATGAATAAAATATATTTACATTAATGTGAAATTTTTTTGACTAAATAATATTACATAATTAATTGGATTAGATACTCTACACAATTTATGTATATATAAAATGAAAAATAATATCAAAAGATTATAAAAATTTTGTTAAAAAATATTTTTAATTTAAAAGAGGATTAAAAATAAATAAGTAAAAATTAATTAGAAGCATAAGGAATATATAAAGAGAAGTATAGGATAGCATAAATATAAGGATAAAAATATCTTTTGATTTTGAGAAGTTACTTTTAGATAAGCAAGATAGCCATAAGCCATAAAAATTAGCTTATAACTTAAGCGGTGTTTTGAGATAAAATGACTTCTAGTCAAAAGTAATGCTAAAAATCATGTCTTAATCGCCATAAGTAGGCTTGAGCCTACCAAATACATTGACGGCATTTTAAGACCTATGAAGTATCGGGATACAATTAAAAATTTCATAAAAAAACTTTAATTTCTTCTTTTTTCTATTTTGGACAGAAAATCTTAATTTCTAGCCATCTCAGATAAATATCTTGATAATAAATTGTTTTTCTAACCCTGAGCTTCACTTTGAAATCTTAGTTTTTCTTCTTGTTTTTTTTTACGTGTGTGTTGTCTTAATTTTTTACCTATAAGCTTTTTTTATTATTATATTCATTTATGTTAATATTCTTTTTTTCAGACCGAAAAAGGAAAGGAAAGTATTATTTTGAGACTTCCAAAGATGAAAAAACACGTAAAAGAACGAATGCCACGTGCAATATCAAGAAATTGAGTGCATTGGTACGTCTTCACTCACAAAACAGAACAAAGGAAAATATTTTTTGGCCAAAAAAACAGAGAAAAATATTAGTATAGATTTTTCTTCCGAACTCTGCTGTGTGGCAGGGAAAATTTTCAAAAAAAAATTATAGTGAAAATTATTTATTGAAAAAAATATTTTATAAATGTAAAATAATTAAAAGCTGGATATAGGAAAGGAACTGCCAGGAAAAAAAAATTGAAAAAAAATAATGACGGCACGGGCATCTGGCAATATTTGGTTTAATAATTTCGGTTGACTTGGCCATCGGCCTAATAATAACCGTATGTGGGCTAGCATTTTATTGTGTCCAGGCCACCCCATAATTTTAAATTTTGATGCCCAATTTTGATAAATATAATGATGGGCCCACTTCCTCAGAGATTTCTGATTTACCCACAAAAAAAAAAACACTTAATTAAGAATCACATTGAGTAATGGCTGTATAAAGACCCTCATTAGTCCACTCCCAAAAATAGTGAAAAAAATTTAGTAATTTTATTTTTTGAGAATTTTTCTTCTAATAGCATTTCCTTTTTAATTTTTCTCCCATTCAAACATAAGGTTACTGTCTCATATGACATCAATACCCTCTTAACTTTATTTAGAGTCACTTGAGAGATCCAAGTTCCTCATACTAAATAAAGTTAAAAGACAAAGTAAGACCCGTGCTCGTTTGATTTTATCATACACTTTTATACCTCATGGACTAAATTTGTTTTAGATATTTATCTCGTATATTATAAAATTACTTATATATATCCTTTTATGTGAAAAAAGTGAGCCTTACTTTTGGATACACGTAACCCATAAAAATAAGCTGCTTTCTTAGTATACATCATTACATAGATCTAAAATCATCACATAAAGCGTTTTCACCCAAAAAAAAAAATCCACATAAAGCGCAAACTACGACTACTTTTATATATAAGTGGAATGTGGGATCAGATTAGGCAGCCTAACCAGATATATTTAAATCAAATATGTTGGCGTGTACATGTTTGATCATTTAAAGGTGGCCCTTTATGCATTATTCTGCCCGAGCTAGCACGTTCATAGGAATGGCAGGTTAGTTTTTTTTTTTTTCTTTTTCCTGGACCAGTCTTTTTCCTGGACCAGTCCCAAAATGTGTTTTGGGCCTTTTGAAGTTGCCTGTATTTGGATGAGAAAAGGGAATTTGAAAAAAGGGGTGAAAATAGAAGTAGAAATGAATTTTGGGGAAAAATTGTTGGCAAAACAGAAATAATATGAAAAAAAATTAGAAGGAAAGAAATTTTGAAAATAAAAAATAGCTTCCATTCCCTATATAATAAGTGCATTGGTCAAAGAAAAATATTTTCTTTCTACGTCTTTACTTATTTTCTGGAAAAAAAATAACTGTGCTGATTCGTTTAAGAAACTAATCATTAGAAAATCCCGTAACAAACAAACAACATGTAATAAGTTCTAACATAAAAAAAAATAGCAATAAATACATGTTACTTACTTATTATATGATTTCTAGTGGTTAAATTCTTAATAAGAGACTCCAAAGTAATTTTTTTCTCATCCAAACAGTGTAAATTGAAGAATCAAGACTAAGGGAAGCAAAGAAAACAAAATGAAAATTAACAAGAAAAGGGGAAATGAATCTTCTTGTTGTTGAGAGAACCATATATAGAGAAACATCCACATGGTGGAAGAAGCCAACTTCCCAACGTTCTCAGATCGTCATCAGTCCACCGCCATCCTCCACCTCAATAATTATCAAGTTGTTCTCCTTTTTTTCCTTTTATCTTTTTATTTAAACACAAAGTTTGACACCAACATTTATTTATTTAAAAAAATTCTCTTTGGCCCCCGTGATGGAGCCATTTTGAGACTGCCCTTTCTATATGCGACTGAGATTAGGAGTGGGGAAAAGTTAAAAGTCACGGAATTTAATATCGTCTATGGCAGAAAAAAATAACTATGAGATCCTCTTCTTTATATATTGATGATGCTGGCCGTTGATCTGGTGGGTTCTTTTGACCCGATGGAAAAAGACAACTGTAAACTACACTACACATTTTTAATAGGCTGCGTGTTAAACATGTCTATCCCTTTGATTTCCTCTAGATTTTTAATAGATGGACAGGAGCTCTCTGCCAGTTGCCACGAGGCACTGCCTAATTTCTTTGTTGTGTAATAACTTCAAAAAATAAAATAAAATTTTAATTTGCGTCACAGCACAAAATTTCTGTGAGTACAAATTTGCTTCCAAAATCTAAAATTGTAATATTATTATTTCTTATTGTTAAAAATATTAACATGTCACTATTTTAACAGTCAACGTTAATTTTTTTAATGACAGGAGACGATAATATCATTTAAAAGATACTCTTCCGGTCTTTAATATAAGACCTATTTAACTAATTTGATTATATTAAGAAAGTTAGGTAAGTTAGTTAATAATAAGGAATATGACATGTTTTTCCTAAAGTATCGTAATCATCTTTCTTAGTATTCTCCTTCCCTCTTCTACTTGATTATAGTTGAGAGAGTATTCATAAGAATAATTTAGGAAAAATTGATAAACATGAGAAATAGGTCTTATATTTAAGACTAAAATCAACTCAACAATTAGGTCTTGTATTAAAAATCAGAAGAGTATCTAAGAAAAGTATTTGGTGTGACTGGACTATAAGGTCCGGAATATAAAAATAAGTTACATAGGAATATATTATTTTGAAATGATTATCTGAACATAGTCATATAGATGGTAGTTTGAAAATTATTTGAGGTACCTCGGTGGTGCAATGAATTGAATTTGTTTGTAGTGAGTGGTGGTCCATTATGATGTCTCTCCCCCCCTCTCTCGTGATAAATAATATGTGGTGTATACACGCCCATGTCTGGTGAAAAAGTACTAGAGAGGACCATATATATGTATGCTCACTGTTCCTCCCGTGAAGCTCCCACAGAAGCGTACACACATCACAGCCTTCTCAGAGACACACACACACACACAAAGATGAGAGTGGGAAAGGAAGGAGAGGAGAGGGAAGGAGTAGCTGATGATGACAAAGCTTCTTTGTTATTTGAGACGAAGGAAGCCCAATGGAGAGGAGCTTATAGGCTATTTGCATGCACCATTTTTGCAGGTACATACATACATATGTTCTTTTCTTTTACATCGTACCTTCATTAAATTGACAGTATATGTGATGAAGTTATATATATATATATATATATGTTTGCGTACTGACTGGGTGAGAGTGAAGGGATATGTATGATATGGTGGTACAGGATAAGGAAGATATTGTTATCTACAGAAGGAGGAGGAGGAGGAGGATGGGTTAATATGGGGGTGATGATGTCGGAGATGTGCTTTGGAGTGTTCTGGATTTTCACCCAATCTGTTCGTTGGACCCTCGTTCACCATTCTCCCTTCAAACACATCCTCTCCCGCAGGTATCAACTTTCTTCAATCACATATACTCTTCCGATACTTAATATAAAACTCATTTACCTATATACCTAATTTGATTAGATTAAGGAAGTTAGGTAAGTTAGTTAATTATAAGAAAAATGACACGTTTTTCCTAAAATACCAATAATCAGCTTTCTTAATACCTCCTCTCCCTCTTCTACTTAATTATAATCGAGGGAGTATCCATAGGAATAATTTAGAAAAAACTGATAAATATGAGAAATGAGTCTAATATTTAAAATTACAACTAACTCAAGAATTGGGTCTTATATTAAGGACTGGAAGAGTACTATACAGTTCTTCTTCCATGCACAGTGGAATAATCCTAAAACAGGAGGACACAACAAATAAGTAGACGAGTTTAATTTATATACATATCACAGTTAATATGAAACTCCCAGGCACTTTCTAATTTTATATAGGGTTAAGGTGCGTCGAGCACCCCGAACTATTTACCCAGGTGCGTCCAGTGGCTTAAAGTAATTTTGGGTGCATCCAGTGTCCTAAACTAATTAAAATGGTGTGTCCATATCCCATGCTAACAAAAATGTTATGTTTAACTGTTATTTTCCTGACTCAACTTAAAGTTGACCCCATATATTCTATATGGTAGACACATGGGCACCCAATGTGTATTATTCTTACTCAAAAGACAATTTATTTAGAAGAAGAGGAAAGAAATAAATTTAATTTTGAGTAAGAATAATACATATCAAATGTCCATATGTCTATCATTTAGAATATTTGGGGTCAATTTTAAGCTGAATTAGGAAAGTAACAGTTAAACATAACATTTCTGTTAGTTTGGGATATGGACGCACAATTTTAATTAGTTTAGAACACTGAATGCACCCAAAATTACTTTAGACCACTGGACGCACTTGGGTAAATAGTTCAGGGTGCTAGGCGCACCTTAGCCCTTTTATATATAAATAACCGACGTATGATTTATTCTTTATATTTTATAGAGTATACATTATGTGTAGTACAGCTAGTCTGCACACGGCTCTATTCTTCAGTCACTCCTTATCTTTGGCCATGACAGCTGAGCCTTCCGCGTGAGGTCAACCTCTGTCCTGCAAGAGATATAAATAAATACAGGGTTAATATAATTTCTAGTCCCTTAAATTTGCTTTTATTTTGATTATAATTTCTCAAATTTCACATTATAGATTTTGGTTCTTCAAGAGTTAACATTATCCAGATTTTTATTGAATTATAAGAACTAATGTTTTAAATGAAAAGAAATTTGAAGGACCAAAACTTATGGTTTAAAACTTAAAGGACCAAAACCAAAATGAGGATAAATTTGAAGGATCAAAGTTTGTATTTACCCATAAATACATATATGTGTATATATATATTGATAACGTGAGGTCAAATTTATATTACAAATTCAAGTGTTTTAATAATAATAATAATAATAATAATAATAATAATATGATATTAGAACTAGATAAGTAACTAGTAAAGACTAAGAAAATTTATTAAATAAGTTATTTGTTGAAAATTTTTGCTAAAACAAAATTATATGTTAAAAGTATGTGTCGGTTTTCTCAAGATACACTGATTATTTGCATTCAAACTTTTTTGCAAAGGATTATTTACATTGGAACTATCTTGATGTAAATTCTATTAACACGTACCATCTATGTGGATAGTTGGAATAAAAACATAATTCATTTAAAGTAGATAAAGTGGGTTGAAATCCTTATACTCCTCTAGTCTTTAATATAAAACCCATTTAACTAATTTGATTAGATTAAGAAAGTTAGATAAGTTAGTTAATTATAAGAAATGTGACACGTTTTTCCTAAAATATCATAATCATCTTTCTTAATACCCCTATTCTTTTTTTACTTGATTATGGTTGAGGAAGTATCTATAGGGGTAATTTAGAGAAAATTGATAAATATGATAAATGGATCTTATATTTAGGACTAAAACCAACTCAATAATTGGATCCTATTTTAAGAACCGGAGGAGTATCTAGAATCAGGGAAAATAATATGTTTATTTTTTTAATCTCAACCTTGGCTCCGCCCAGACCAAGGCTTAAGTTCGCAATAAATTTAACTTTCTTTTTTTTTTTCCTCGTCATTGGTTTGGTGGTGGACAATTCAAATTTTGTTTGGAAGAAAATTAATTAACATTAGACGAACCAAACCTTGGGGAGATAATCGAAATCCATGAGAAATACAAATGCACACTTAATTAATGACCACAACTCAACACAATGATGAAAGCAAAAACTAAATATTCATGAGCATGCATGTGTTTTGCATTAAGCCGAAGATGAACTATATACTTTTTATTTACATAGTATTTTGTATTGAATGGGAAAAATCCACGACATACAGATACGATGAAGAGAAGCTACCAGGAGTTGACATTTTTGTGTGCACAGCAGATCCAACGTTGGAGCCACCAAGCATGGTGATGAACACAGTGTTATCAGCAATGTCATATAATTATCCTTCCAGTAAGCTTAGCATTTATGTTTCTGATGATGGAGGCTCTGAGCTCACTTTCTATGCTCTTCTGAGAGCTTCTCTTTTCTCCAAGCATTGGATTCCTTTCTGTAAAAGATTCAACATTCAAACCAGATCTCCTCAGGCTTACTTTTCCTCTCACCATTCTGGGGCCATGCATCAAAATGACCAACAATGGTCATCTATCAAGGTACGCAATTTATTAAAACTAATCTATATCAATGGTCATCCAAATAAACAAAAAATTGATGAGCATATATATATATATATGTATATATAAGCTGAATAACTCAATGATTTTCAGAAATTATACGAAGATATGAAAAGTGAGATAGAATCAGTGGTAGAAAAAGGCAAGATTCCAAATTCAATGAGGAACCAACACAGAGGACTCTCAGAATGGAATTACAACACAACAAAGCAGAACCATCAGCCTATTGTGCAGGTACAAGCATGTATATATAACTGATCTTCTTTCCCAAGAAAAACTAAGTGTTGAAACACGCATGCATTCATATATATATATATATATATATATATAAAATCTCATGCATATCAAGCTCATAAAAATTATCAACAATTTACTTTTTTGGGGCCCAGATTATAATTGATGGAAGGGATACAAATGCTATAGACGATGATGGATTTCAATTACCAACCCTAGTTTACATGGCACGAGAGAAGCGACCCAACTTCCCTCACCACTTCAAAGCAGGAGCCATGAATGCACTCGTAAGTACTCCGATCTTTTAATTCCCAACATCATATATATTTAGATGTAGTTACTGACAGAAACATGTGCATATATATGTAGATAAGAGTGTCTTTAGAGATAAGCAATGGACCTATAATTCTCAACTTGGACTGTGACATGTACCCAAACAGTGCGGACACAATACAAGAAGCATTGTGTTTCTTCATAGACGAGACGAGAGGCCACCAGATAGCTTATGTACAGTTTCCCCAAAGATTCAACAATATCACCAAGAATGACCTTTATTCTAATGCCTTTCTTGTTGGCCAGAAGGTGAACTTAAAGCACTCAGTCTCACATTTCAATTAAACAACTCCTCTTTTCAGATACGATTATCACAGTGCTAACAAGAAATGTGGAATTAAAGATAAAAGTAGCTAGACTATTTTGAACTGATTTGAAAAATGGAAGACTAAAACCTTTCGTTGTACTATTGCTTAAGATTGAGCTTGCCGGCTTTTGTGGAAATGGAGGATCTTTATATTGTGGAACAGGGTGTTTTCACAGAAGAGAGAGCCTCTCAGGAATGCACTTCAAAAATTATTACAAACCAAAATGGGACACCAAACCGAAGACAGAAGACAAAAGAACAGCCGATGAATTAATTGAAGTATCAAAAGCTCTTGTCAGCTGTACCTACGAAGATGGCACTCAGTGGGGCAAAGAGGTCTGTGTTTACATATAAAGCATAACACATGGCTCTTTAATTAATTAATAACGCTTCGAAGTATTTATGATGTTCATGTGTGTGTGTGGGGGGGGGCAACATTAGTAACAAATAATGATTGTGCAGATGGGATTGGTATATGGGATTCCTGTAGAAGACATAGTCACAGGGCTTGCGATCATATGCAGAGGGTGGAAATCTATTTACTATAACCCCCCAGAAAGAAATGCTTTCATGGGAGTAGCTCCGACAACCTTTGACATGCTTCTTGTTCAACATAAGAGGTGGGGACAAGGGTTGTCTCAGATCCTCTTCTCCAAGTATTGTCCTTTCATTCATGGCCACAACAAGTTAAGCTTCGGTTTACAAATGGCATATAGTGTCTACCTGCTATGGGTCCCATTGTCTCTTCCAACTCTCTGTTATCTTATTCTCCTTCCCATTTCCACATTTCGTGGCATTCCATTGTTCCCACAGGTAATCTCATATATATTAATCCCTCTTGTCTTATCTTTTCATACGGATCAAAGAGACGTAGTCTACTGATATAAACCTAGCTATGTGCCGGTTGCTCGATATTCTTTTCTTATATTTGATAACAAAAAAACTTTGCTAATTAATTCTCATGTTTGGTAATGGAATCTTAAATATAAGAGTTAGTTGGAGATTTAATGTAATCCTAAATATAAGATTGCAATTCACTTTATTTCTAATATTTGTTCATTTTGCCCCTAGTAAGGAGCCTCTATTAATAGGTAGTTTCAACATGCATGATTAGTAAGAGCATTATAGGAAAAGTACTATACATTTATTACAAATAATTAAATTGATTAATTTTCTCAATATTTGCAAATTAATTATCTATCTCTTATGCTAAGAAGTGAAGATAACATAAATATAAATTGTTGAAATGATTGTTGCCTCTTGGTTGCAGCTTACAAGCCCCTGGATCATTCCATTCCTATACGCATTTTTGGCAAATTACGCCTACAGCTTCTTGGAGGCTCTAAGCTGCGGCAACACAGCCAAGGCATGGTGGAACACACAACGGATGACGTTGTTCCGAAGGACCACCTCATATCTCTTTGGCTTCATCGACACCATCTCCCTGAACCTCAATCTCTCTCAAACAAAGTTTGATGTCACAGACAAGGTTTTATCACAAGACACCCTTGACTGCTATGAACGAGAGGTCTTGTATTTTGGAAGCTCATCAGTCATGTTCACCATCATGGCCACACTCGCATTGCTCAACCTCTTCGGAGCAATTTGGGGTATTAAGAGGCTTCTTGTGGATTCTTCATGGAGCCATTTAGGGTTACAGATTGTGTTGTGCTTTTTGATTATGGTTCTGAATAAACCAATTTATGAGGCTCTCTTTATACGCACTGATAGAGGAAGCTTACCATCGAAGGTATTGTTCAAGTCTATTGTTTTGGCTTCCTTAGGATGCACTCTAGCATCTTTGATATGTTGACATATCTCTGGTTTTAAATATAAGAGCTGTAAACTAGTTTTTATATTTGTAACCAAAGATAGCACGAATAAAAAGTGTTAGATAATGTATTGAAATGTTTAAATTAATCTCTGCTGGTTGAAGAATAGTTGAAGAATGGGTGATGAATGTTTAATAATTTGCCATATTGAGATTAAATTATTTTTGCTGCCACAAAAGAAATTGTTTGTTAATTCCATTGTAAGTGATTTATTTTTTTTAAAAAGTGTCCTTTTAGTGATTTTGTGATGCATCTATCTCACTCAAAATTCAATCCTTCATTCGTCCAGCTAACTCCTTCTACTATATAGACCAAACCCTTTTAGTAAATTGTTATGATTTTGGTTAAAGAAAAAAGATGTTTTGTTATATCTGAATTTTATTTTTTTGCCAATGCTTTGTTGTCTGAACTTAATTTGACATGTTGACTTTATTACTCACACCTAGATGAAATTATATAAAACTTGGCCAATTGTTGGGTCAAACAAGGCGACTGTCAATTGCTATATATTGAGCCTATTTAGCTCAGTGTTTAGAGGGTAATAAGCTACTTTTTTCTTTCAAGCACGTTTAAAAAATTTGTATTGTTTGTCGTTTGAGATGGTGATTGAGCAATTTGACTTTTGTATAAAGAGTTATAATAAGCTATAAATAAAAATTTGCTACTTATGACTTGTGGTTTTTGAAACATGGAGAGAGAGAAAATTAAGAAATTTACTACCTTCTTTGGTTCTTATTATAAGCCTCAAATAACTAATTTGTAGATAATAAAAAATTAGTTAAAATTACATGAAAGTAATAAATAAGTTAGAAATATATTTTTATTTTTAAATATGCCCTTAGAAATATACTTTTGTTTTCAAATATGCGTTTATAATAAATGATAAAAAATAAAAGAAAATATATAAGATCAACAGTTGCTTATAAATAATTTTAAAATTATTATATTATGTAAATTGATAATTTTTTATTTTTCATTAATTAATAAAAGTCTTACTTATTTGGGTAATTTTACAAATTAAAATTACTTATTCAATTATAACCCAAATAACTTACTTTCACAAACTAACTTTTATAAAATCCAATCCAAACACAATTCACATCATCTAATTCAACTTTTACCAATCTAACTTTTTCAAAAGTCATATTAACAATAAGCTACTATTTCAATCGCTAATCCAAACAGATCTCATTATCTAAATTTGATTTGATATATTGTCTCTTTTAGCCTGATAGTGTGTGGGCTTGCTTTACTTATTACACATAACTAAGAAGTAAGAATATATTACACAAAATTAAAAATGTATCCATTAAAAATTTAAAAATGAGCTCCACTTGGTTCTTAAATAAAGTTTTCAACCATTTTCTCTTATTTTATTTGGCTATTATCTCGACCAAGGTAAACAAGTGGTTGTATAATATAATATTATGTTGGCAAAAGAAAAAGATTGTATAATATTATAGTTTTGATGGTGATCATCATGAGCAACCAAGGGGGAATCCGTAAGAATATGGATTGAATCGATGCTAGTCAACTAATAATTAATAAATTAATAACAAGAAAAATAATAAACAAATAGAACAGAACCAAAATGTAGTTTGCCAAAGCTGCGCTACTGGTGGTGCTAGGTTCGATTATATATTAGTGAAGTTAATGGAGAAAATAACCAAGGGATGATGAAGGCAGAGGATAGGAATGAGGGTAGTTATGTTCCATTGTTTACGACGGAAAGACCTTGAGGAAGGGTTATTTTCTATAGGCTCTTCTATGTCTCCTTATTCGCCAGAATATTCTCTCTCACTTGTTCATCCACGGCGGTGCTCAATATGAACAAGAAGAAGAAGATGAAGGTGAGAAGAAATGTTATTGGGTTTTATGTGTTGCTTTGTTTGGTGCAGAGCTATGGTTCGGCTTCTACTGGATCCTCACCCAAGCTCTCTGCTGGAATCTTGTCTTCAGGCTTCCCTTCAACCACCGTCTCTCTCTAAGGTTCTTCCTCTCTCTATTTCTCACTGGAAAAAAAAATTGCTTCTTTTTTTTGTTGTCATTTTTCACTTAGTTGAATAGTAACTTAGGTACTAATCATATCTACGGAGAATTTAACATACAACCTTATGTTTAAATAACACTTAGAAAGATGTTCAGTGTCATCTTAATCAAACAATACCACAAATTGTTGCCACCACGGAGCCTTTTGTGTAATTTTAGAAGCCATAATTATTTTTTATTGGTGTCTTTAACTCTTTATGATTAACATGGTCCCTCCTCTAAATGTGTTTTCTGAAAGAATTTTTTGAGTCTAAAATATAAGGTTTATGTAAAACTATATAACAATTTTTTATTTTTGCCCCTCACGATTTTAATATGTGATCTTATAAATTGCACGTGAATGATAGTCAAATCTAAAAAACTAAATATTACCTCTGGTTCTAATTATAAGACCTCATTTATAAATTACAAACAAGAATTTATAATTAGGATCGGAGGTAGTATTTGTGAGCATGTATGTGTTATGCATACAACCGGAGATGAACCATTTTGTATTTTCTTTCTCCAAGAAAAGTGCGATAGCTTTTGTATTGAATGGGAGACATGTACGTGCAGACATGATGAAGAGAAGCTACCAGAAGTTGACATTTTTGTGTGCACAACAACAGATATAATGTTAGAGCTGCCAAGCATGATGACGAACACAATATTATCAGCAATGTCATATGATTATCCTTCCAATAAGCTTAGTGTTTATGTTTTTTATGATGGAGGCTTTGAGCTCACTTTTTATGCTCTTGTAAGAGCTTCTCTTTTCTCTAAGCATTGGATTCCTTTATGCAAAAGATTCAACATTCAAACCAGATCTCCAGAGGCTTACTTTTCCTCTCACCATTCTGGGGCCGTGCATTAAAATGATCAACAATGGTCAAATACCAAGGTACTTTACTAAAATTAATTTATATCAATGGTCTCCAAATATACAAAAAATTGATGAGCGCGTATATATATATATAAGCTGAATAACCCAATGATTTTCAGAAATTATACGAAGATATGAAAAGTGAGATAGAATCAGTAGTAGAAGAAGGCAAGATTCTAGATTCAATGAGGAACCAACACAGAGGATTCTCAGAATGGAATGACAACACAAGAAAGCATAACCATCAGCCTATTGTGCAGGTTCACGCATGCATATATATAACTGATCTTCTTTCCTAAGAAAAACTAAGTGTTGAAACATGCATGCATTCATATATGTGTGTGTGTATAATCTCATGCATATATACCTTATAAAAATTATTAACAATTTACTTTTTTTGGGGCCCAGATTATAATTGATGGAAGGGACATAGATGCTAAGATGATGATGGATTTCAGTTGCCAACTCTAGTTTATATGGCACGAGAGAAATGACCCAACTTCCCTCACCATTTTAAAGCAGGAGCCATGAATGCACTTGTAAGTACTTCTCTAATCATAAATGTTTAATTTCCAACATCATATATATGTGTGTGTGTTCAAATGAAGTTATTGACAGAAACCTGTACATATATATATGCAGATAAGAGTGTCGCCAGAGATAAGCAACGGACCTATAATTCTCAACTTGGATTGTGACATGTACCTAAACAGTGCAAACACAATACAAGAAGCACTATGTTTCTTCATGGACGAGAAGAGAGGCCAACAGATAGCTTATGTGCAATTTCCCCTAAGCTTTAACAATATCACCAAGAATGACCTTTATTCAAGTGTTTTTCTTGTTGCCTATAAGGTGTACTTAAACACCTGGTCTCATATTTTAATTTAAACTGCTCTTCTTTTTAGATATGATTGTAACATGAAAGACTACTTAAACCTTTCATTGTACTATTGTCTAAGATTGAGCTTGTCGGCTTTGGAGGGAATGGAGGATCTTTATATTGTGGAATTGGGTGTTTTCAAAAAAGAGAGAATCTCTCCGGAATGTACTTCAAAGATTATTACAAACCAAAATGGGACACCAAAACTAAGGGAGAAGACAAAAGAATAGCCGATGAATTAATTGAAGCATCGAAGGCTCTTGTGAGCTACACCTACGAGAAGGGCACTCAATGGGGCAAAGAGGTCAGTGTTTATATATCGAGCATAATACATGACTCTAATTAATTTAGAACACTTGGAAGTACTTATGATGTTCATATATATATATAGATATATTTGTGGTGCATACGTAACAAATAATGATTGTGCAGATGGGTTTATTGTATGGGATTCCTGTAGAAGACATAGTCATAGGGCTTATGATCACATGCAGAGTGTGGAAATCAATTTACTATAACCCACAAGAAAAAAGGGCCTTCATGGGAGTAGCTCCGACAACCTTTGGTGTGCTTCTTGTTTAGCAGAAAAGGCGGGGACAAGAGTTGTCTCTTCCAACCCTTTGCTATCTTATTTTCCTTCCCATTTCCACATTTCGTGGTGTTCCATTGTTCCCGGAGGTAGCCTCGTATATATTAATCCCCCTTGTCTTATCTTTTCATATGGACCAAAGAGACATAGTCTACTGATATAAACTTTGCTATTTGATAACGGAAAAACTTAGCTAATTAATTCTTATATTTGGTTGTAGAGGTGATATCTATTATAAATATAAGTTCTTGAAATAATTATTGCCTCTTGGTGGTAGCTTACAAGCCCCTGGATCGTTCTATTCCTATATGTATTTCTAGCAAACTACGCCTACAACTTCCTGGAGGCTCTGAGCTGTGGCAACACAGGCAAGGCATGGTGGAATGCACAACATATGATGCTCTTCCAAATGAGCATCTCATATCTCTTTGGCTTCATTGATGCTATCTCCATGAAGCTCAATCTCTCTCAGACAAAGTTCGATGTCACGTACAAGGCTTTGTCCCAAGACAACCTCAACTGCTACGAACGAGAAGTCTTGTATTTTGGAAGCTTGTCGGTCATGTTCACCATCATGGCCACACTCGCATTGCTCAACCTATTTGGAGCAGTCTAGGGTATCGAGGCTTCTTGTGGATTATTCATGGAGCTATTTAGGGTTACAGACTATGTTGTGCATTTTGATTATGGTCTTGAATAAACCAATTTATGAGGCTCTCTTTATACGTACTGGTAGAGGAAGCTTACCATCGGAGGCGTTGTTCAAGTTTGTTGCTTTGGCTTCCTTGGGATGCCTCCTAGCATCCCTGATATGTTGACAAAATATGTATGGAAAAAGTTAGATACGATCTTGGGTCTTTAATATAAGATCTTGTTTGACTTTTATTTTGGTCCTAAATATAATACTTCAATCCACTTTGTCTCTCATATTTATGTATTTTTTTTCTAAGGTAGTCATTCTAATAATAGTAGTTTTAACCAATACATTTGATTAGCAAGAATATTCTAGAAAAGACAACACGTATTTATTACAAATAACTAATTTAACTTATTTCCTTAATCTAGGACTAGAGGTAGTACTATGTTGAAATGTTTAAGTTAGTCTCTGATAGTTAATTTATAGTTGAAGAATGCGCGATGAATTTCTAATAATTAGCCATATTTAGATTAGATTATGTTTGTTGTCACCAAGGCAATTGCTTGTTAACTCTGTCATAAGAGATTTTTTTTTGAAAAAAAAGGAGCATATTTGAATCTTCATTCCTCTCATTGCTGAGAAACTAACCAATACCGGCTCCTGTTGGCAAAATGTTACAATTTTAGTGAAAAAGGTGTTTTGTTATATCTGAACTTGGTTTGGTAGGTTGGTATAACATAAACCTAGATTAAATTATAAAAGAATTGGCTAATTGTTGGGTTAGGCAAGCCCATTTTCAATTGCTCATGTTTGGGTCCTTTTTATTTTTTTAACTTGATAGTGCGGGCTTGCATTACTCATTCACTTGGGCCACAATGGCCACTTTGTGACAAACAACAAGGAATTATAATCAGATCCTAATTAATGAATTTAATCCCCCAAGAATTTGTTCATAACTGAAGAATGCGCAATAACAAGTTTTAGTACAGTAAATAATACTCCTCCAGTTCTTAATATAGGACTTAATTATTGAGTTAATTTTGGTCCTAAATATAAGAACTATTTATCATATTTATCAAATTTTCTTAAATTACTCTGGTGGATACTCTCTCAACCACAATCAAGTAGAAGAGGGAGGGAGGATATTAAGAAAAATGATTTGGTGTTTTAAGAAAAATATGTTATATTTTTTATAATTAACTAACTTACCTAACTTTTTTAATCTAATCAAATTAATTAAATATGTCTTATATTAAGGACAAGAGGAGTAATAGATTTATGCTACTCATTTATTATTGACATTTCTTGATAATTAAACCTCCCTTTCGAGACCTTATAATAATTCTCCCTGAAGAAAACAATAATGCGTTATGTGCAAGAAAAAAATTAGGATTCCAATGTATATGTACGTATGTATATGTAAAGATTTTTAGATAGATAGATAAAAGAGCATATAATATGTACATATATATATAGGCAAAACAGATAAAAAGGAGAAATAATGACCAGTAAAAATAAAAGTTAAATTTTTATATATTATCAAATTTTTGTGTCAGTCTTTTTGGATGCTTAAGTTCATGAAAATATAATATAGAAGATTTAATTTTAAAATTTTTTTATATCTTTTACTGTGATACAGCTGCCGATCCCCCCCCCCCAAATTCAAGTTGCCGAAATCAAGCAAAAAACTTATAAATTTGTGCTATAATAACATTAAATACTTCTCCTAAGTGTTTCTTAACTATAAGAATGTGGATTTAATGTCCGTAGATGTGTATGTGTGCCAATTCCTTTGAGGAAAACACAAAAAAAGAAGTGAAAGAATTAAAAAGAAAAGGATGGTAGAAATGTGTGTGTTTGAAAAAATATATAAATATATATTGAAGTTTGCGTTTATCGGCGAACTTTGTTGAGTTTTTTTTAGGGAAAATTACACCCAGGTCCCACAGAGTACAATTAATATCAAAAAGGTCTCACGAAATCGCGAAATGATTCTGAAGTCCCCAGGAACCTGTGTGTAATTAATTCTAATTGTGAAATTACCTACTTACCCCTGTTAATTTTATTGCAACAATTCATTTACAATCTCAACAGTGGCTGTTAACAACCCGAGAAGACATGATTGACAACCTCGGCAGTGCTCATGACAACTCACTCTGTGGAATGCCAGGGGCGTTATTGAGGTTGTTAACCACCTCTTCTCGAGTTGTTAACAATCACTGTTGATGTTGTAAATAGGTTCTAATTTTATTTACAATCTCAACAGTGCTGTTAACAACCTGAGAAGACGTGATTGACAACCTCGGCAGTGCTCATGACAACTCACTCTGTGGAATACCAGGGGCGTTGTTGAGGTTGTTAACCACCTCTTCTCGGGTTGTTAACAGCCACTGTTGAGGTTGTAAATAGGTTCAAATTAACAGGGGTAATTACGTAATTTCACAATTAGAATTAATTACACACAGGTCCCTGGGGACTTCAGAATCATTTCGCGATTTCGAGGGACCTTTTTGATATTAATTGTGTTCTGTGGGACCTGAGTGTAATTTTCCCTTTTTTTTAAAATAAAAGACAATCAACGTAAGGTTTATCCGATCGTCGACTTTTTTGACCAACTTTGATGATGAAATTGTTAACACACATAGTCCCATCAAAACTACTATTTTACCACAAAAAAGGCCTAAACTACACTTTATATTTATTTATTCCCATCCCATCTACTATTCCACTACTTCAATATAGTCTCAAAATATATGACTCTAATAATACCCAGCTCACGCTCACCAAAAAAAAAAAAAAGGCAGATTAGTTAAATTTGTAACAAAACATAATTTTTGTATTTGCACATAATTAAGGATATATTCTACATAATTAAAAAAAGAATTATATCCATAAAAAATGAGTTGCACTTGCTATTTAAATAAATGTTTCAACAATTTCTCTTATTTAATTTGGTTATCTTTTTGACCATTCGAACAAGTTGTTGTATAACATATTAATATTATAATTTTGATGGTGATGATCCTCAGCAACCACCGAGCAGCCAACGGGGAATAAGACCTGCAAGCATATGAATTGGATCGAGACGGCACCCCAGAAACATATAAGAATTTCTTTTGGATTGATGCGACCCAACGGAGCCTTAATAAATTAATGAAAGAAAATAATAAACAAATAGAGAACAGTGTCATAAATGGGGGTGGTGGGTTATATATATTAGTGAAGTTCATGAGAAAAAGAACGAGGGGAATGATGAAGGCAGATGATAGGAGTGAGAGTAGCTATGTTCCATTGTTTGCGACGGAAAGACCCAGAGGAAGGGTCATCATCTACAGGCTCTTCTGCGTCTCGTTATTCGCCGGAATATTTTTTATCTGGGTTTACAGATTCTCTCACTTGTTCATCCATGGCAGTCGTCAACATGAAGAAGAAGAAGATGATGATGAAGGTGAGAAGAAATGTTATTGGGTTTTATGGGTTGCTTTGTTTGGTGCAGAGCTATGGTTCGGCTTCTACTGGATCCTCACCCAATCTCTCCGATGGAATCTTGTCTTCAGACTTCCCTTCAACCACCGTCTCTCTCTAAGGTTGTTCTCCTCTCTCCCCCACCATGGAAAAGCTGTTTTTACGTAGAAATTAAAAGTGCTTTTATCCAAACACCCTTTAATTGAATCTAAGCAATTTAGATAGTCATTTTATGCAGCGAGCAGGAATAATTGTTATTTTGAATTTTAAGACACATTAATTATTTTTACGTAAAAGTATTTAACAATTTTTTTAATTTTTGCTCCTTAAGATTTTAATACGTGATCTTGTAAATTGTAGGTGAATGTTTTAGGAGAAATGATAAGTGTACTCATAAGGATAAAAATCAAATTTTTAAGATTTTTAACAAATTCATAAATAATAAATCTTTTAAGTTTTTAAGGATTAATATAATTTTTAATCTCCAAATTTGGATCCATTTTTATTTTGGTCCTTCAAATTTAAACAACATGATTTAAGTTTTTGGAAATTTAGTTCATCTTAAAACGTTGATTGTCGAAGGTATGATGGTATTAAAATAGTGATGTATCATTAATGGTATCAAAAGTGATGGTGTGGACTCATAAGATGCCACATAACTGAATCTAGTGTGGATAATAGAAAGTAGCACAATAAACAGAGCTCCTAAAAAAAACATTAGTGAAAAAAAAAGAGGGGTTAAATAACTATGTTTTGAGAGCCAGTTCTTTTCTGTTTTTTTTCCTCCTTTATTATTCATACAAGATTCTGTTAGATACTATCTGATGAGTTCATATTATCACTTTAGTTATTTAGGACATTTTTGTAGATTTTAATATTGTTACACATTTAGAGATTAATGTTTTAAGACAGATTAAATTTTTAGGAACTTAAACTATGTATTTAAAATTTAAGAGACTGAAATCAATATAGATCCAAATTTTAAGAACAAAAATTATATTAATATATTATTTTAAACACAAAAGGAATTTAGAAAACATCAATGGTACTACAGCTATTATTTTCATGGATGTAGTGATCCTAGTAGCCTAGACGTGGTGTCGGCCAGCTTGATTTAAGATATTTAATGATTTTTTAAAATAAAAAAGTATATTGGCCAATGTTGCAATTTTTCAAAGTAGAATCTGGTCAAAA